ATTAATATAAACAGATTTTTACCCAAAACTAATGAAATCTGCGCATTAGATCAGAGCATCCATGTGCCAAGTTTCATCAAAATCCAATGAGTGGTTCTTCATACATCAGTGGAACAGTCATGGAACAGCTAAAAATCAGCTAATTATCATGCAAATTAGGTAATTAATATTCATAGATTTTTACCAAAACCTAATCAACTCTGCGCATTATCCCAGAGCATCTATGTACCAAGTTTCACCAAAATTTGATTAGTGGTTCTTGAGATAACGGTGGAACAAAAAAAGTGACATACATACATACATACATACATACATACAGACATACAGACAGGGTAACTGCAAAGACTCCCTTTTGTGCTTCGCACACGGGAGTCAAAAATTATTTTATTTATAAGTGATAAAACAAGCTCCCTATTAAAAAATAAAATAAAAAGAAGTAATTTCTAATTGAAATTCAGGACTGTAAATATACAACAAACAAATCTGAAAGAAGTTATGTACACAGTTTAAAAAGAAATAACAATGACAGAAGAAATAACAATGACATCACAGTTTCAGGTGGGATGGATGGAAGATAATTATTTGAAGAATTAAACAAAGTAGTGTAGAAAAATACATTAAATTTTCACTCTCACTAGAACCAGAACCTAAGTAGGTCAAAGTTCATCTTGCATAATAAAATAGTAAATGTACTGATAGGTTAGTTAGTTATAGTTAACTAATAAGTATACCCCGGTATATTAAAATATTGCGATGTTCTCGTTATAATTTAGAAGAATTAAATATTTAAATACATTTTTCGTATTTAATTTGCAATTTATTTTTTGCTTGAATAGGAAATGTTGAACAAGTCAGTCATTGTCAATGACAAAGTCATGTTTACTTTTTCAGTTACTTCAAATGGCACCTTATCCAGGATTTGTTGAATGAAATATACACCATTTGTGTTGTTCATACCAAAATCAGTTAATGTCTGAGAAATGGACACCTAAAAATAAAACCAACATGGCTGCTCGTCAACCATTTTCAATTAAATCACAAAATGACCTTATGTGCATCAGAAACCCATCACGAGTGAGTCAATGTCCAGTTTGACTGAAATCAGTCAAGTCATGCATGTGATACTGTTGATGACATGTTTTTTTTAGCCATCTAAGAATCAAATCATAAACTGAAGTGAAGTGAATCAATAACCCACGAGTGATATTCTCACCCAATTTGAATGGAATTGGCACAGGCATGGCCGAGAAACAGTTGATGACATGTTAAATTTTTTGACAAAAATGGCCACCAGTCGGCTAAATTTCACCTAAATTTAAAAAAGTCCTATCCTTCTATGACCCCCCCCCCTGAACAGGCACCACAACCACCCACCTCTCACAAATAGGCTGGCGGCAGTTTCTCTCACTGGCTAGTTACATTAGAAGTACAAACACTAAATCACAGTCTTTTGGAGCATTTAACCATTCTTAAATTTATTTTTTAAAACAAGGCACTCTTTTAATAAATTGCTTGTATACAGTAAAAAATGTTATGACTATAATATATCTATAATATACTCAGTTGATTATGCTTTGTCAGGTGCATCAGAAAATTTGAGTCATAATTATGGTATTTTGTTATTGTATATAGACACTTTCGTAAAATTTATTTAATGGTGCAAGGTTGTTAAAAATAAATAAATGTCAAGTTCCTCAAACTAGTGCCTTTTGAAAACAGCGTCAAATTATACTGTTTTGGTCATGTGGTAAATTCTCAATGCATTTCTAATACTGTTAACTTTATCATCCTTTAAAATTGGTAATACTACTGCATCTGAACTGACCCATCAGAGAGCTAATGGCGGCGTGTGGAATATGTTATTTGTTCATTTTCAAAAAATGATTGATATGCATATATGTATGTATTCCAATTGTTAAACAGGGTAAAGTCGTTATTTGTTGTTCACATGGACTTATTAAATTCAGTTGGAATGTTATGAATGTTAATTTCTGAGTTTAATAAAAAAAAAAAACAATCCAATCCCAAACCATCATGCAGTTTTCGAGGTTTAGCATCCAATGTCAAACAATCGCAGCTCTTCATTTTGACTCATTGGACTGGATTTTTTTTAATAATTTGAAAGGCTGTTATTAAAGCTATGAAATTTAAAAGGAACTTTTCAAATGATGGTCTACTGAGTGACTATGTTGGACCTTACAAAGCTCTAAATATTAGCCAGCAATTTCATAATTGTTATAATACAGAAACAAAACTAAATGGTGATAGTAAATCTGATATATAAAATTAAAAATATACAAACGATCTTATTAGACATTTAGAATCTTCAATTCATATTAAAGTACAGTCACATCAATATCAGATGTTATTCCAGCTGCATCGCCATTGAGCACGGCGTCATCTGTGCTTCTTCTGTTTTTCTTATTTTTTAGCATTTCCTCGTTCCCGCGTTTCTGTTCAAATTTACGAGACTTTGCATTATCAAGTGTGTCCATCTTCAAATTTTGTTTATCGTAATGAGTAACATTTTCTTCAGGTTCTTTCATTTCTTTGCTGTCGGTGTTTTCTTGATGCTTTGGAGTATACACTTCTACAACATGTTCATTTGCATAAGTGGGCGGTTGATCCTGAATATGCTGCTGGTCTTCTTTTCCCACTGGTTCTGGTCTCCTTTTTTTAGATCTGGGTTTAGTTTTAGGCTTTTTTTGAACAGCTGGATATGGACTGATTTCATCACCTGCATCGATAAAAGATGCCTGATTTACATACCCTCCGTCAGAAGGGAAATAACTGGCACTTGCTCCCTCGCTGAGATCCGATGTAATCTCTGCAGTCAGCTGGATCGGTCCATCATCATTATCATCCGACCGGTGATTCTTGATTTCTTTATGGAACTCGTATTTTTTCAGGGATGGGGGTTTCTTGTATCTCCACCAGATTACGAAGATGGAGGCCAGAATGAGCAAAGTGCCGATTGCCGTTGCGAAAAATACACCAATAATTTCAAAGACGTGTCTCTTTTTCAGTGCATCAATCTTAGCTTGTCCATCATCCACTGGCAGTTCCCCTCGTGTGGTGACTTGTTTGCATTCATCCACGGTGGTGATGCTGGGGCAGGTGCCCATGTGTACGGTAACACACACAATGTACTTAGTGCCCGATGTTAAATCCAGCAAGTTATACGAGTTAACAGACAGATTTGCAGCCTTCAATTTATCGGGTACATCAATGCCAAACTTATTCAGCTGAATGATATATCCCACCGCGTCGTCAATATTGGTAGATGACCACTTCATGTGAATGCTGGAATTGGTTATTTCATCCACAGCAACACTGATAGGCACATGAACACATGGATGTGGAATCTCTCCATATGTAGTAACATGTACACAGTTATCATAGATTGTTACATCATTGCAGCCATGCAGCTCTGGTGTGAGACAAATGACATACTGTGTAAGACTCTCCAGTCCCAGTATATTGTACATTGTGGTGCTGGCATTGAAAACTTCACTGAAAACTGTTGAAATATCACCAAATTTGGTAACTTTGATGGTGTACCCACCCACAACTCTTGAATAATCTGGCACCCACTTAACTTTGATCGAGTTTTCAGTGACTAGAAGTTTGTGAAATTGCAAATCTGGAGGGATACAATGTCCCGGTGCAGGTGTCGATTGTACTACTGCCTTGGTGGTGACGGGTTTCACAGTTTGGGGTGCAGCTGATTGGACGGTCAGCACCGCCTGCTTAGTATCTTCACCACGACTGTTATTTGCAATGCAGGCATATATCCCAGCATCTCCAATCTGTATATTGTCAAGGGTCAGCATTGATGAACCTGTCACTGAAGACACATGTACTCTACCCTCTGTTAACTGCTCACTAAACTCACCCAATGGAGTTTCCCAATGAATATCTGGTTGGGGATCGCCTAGAACACTGCAAGTAAATTCCACAGTGTTAAACTCCACAATCAATGTATCACGTGGAGGCTGAGTAATAAATGGTTCACAAGCAAAACTACTGGTTTTGACAATTTGGATGACCTGTCCAGCAACATGGGGTGGTGAGAGACACAGGATATTCATGGGATAAAAGTTGATCGTCGAGTCGGTCAGCCAGTCATAGAGTTGCTTCATTTTACAGTCACACTTCCAAGGGTTTGCACTCAAAAGCAAGTCTGTCAAATTGGAGAGAGGAGACAAACTAGCAATGGACAAACTATCCAATCTGTTGCTGCTCAAACTTAGTCTTTGAAGACTAGTCAACCCTTGGAAGGCGTCGTCAGAGATGGTACTCAGTTGCAATGAGTTCAGATATAACTGTTGAAGAGACGTCAGATGTTGGAACACGAACTGTGGTAGAGACGTTACAGGATTAAGATCTATGTCCAATTCCCGTAAGTTACTCAAGTTATCAAACATGAAGCTTGAAAGACTGGATATGTTATTACTGGATAAATACAACTCCTGCAGAATAACTGTTCCAATAAAAGTCCCAGGAATTATAGTAGAAAGTTTGTTCCGGCTCATGTCTAGTACCTTCAGACTAGAAAGCTGACTAAAGGCGGTGTTAGGAATGCTCCGAATATTATTGACAGAAAGATCCAAGTTCTGAAGCTGTGATAGTCCCACAAAAAGACTGTTTATAGAATCGATATTATTTCCACTCAGATCCAAATTTCTCAGCTTGGTGAGTCCGTTGAATGTCCCAGCTGGCAGATATTCAATTTGGGACTGTGAAAGATGTAGGATCTCCAGATTGGGAAGTGAGGAAAACGCATTATCATACAGTATGTTAAGATTATTCTTATTCAGTGATAGCACGGTGGTAGATTCAGGAATGTCAGGTGGGACAGTTTGCAGACCCCGATCAGAACAATCAACCTCTACATTAGCACCAACGGTGTTGCATATGCAAATTGATGGGCATGTGATCGGCGACTCAGTCATAGTTTTTGGAGTCGTAGATTGATGTCCCACACCCGCTGATGATGATGACTGCTGTTCAGCTGCAGTATCTCGTCGCTGCCTTTCAGTTGCCTGTACAGCTGAAGTAACAACAATCTTCTCTGGAATTGATGTGGAAACTATGCCATCTGTGAGTTGTTGTTGGACAAGTGTTGACTGCTCAGGTACTGCCGTTGTCTGGCAATACGAAGAACTGCATAGACAGAAAAACACCAATAGACTAATGATAAATGATACATCTTGGGTTGCCATGACTACCAAACTGCCTCACACCTGGATATGAAAAGAGAAACAAAGATTTAGTATACATTATTGTCCGAAAACTTGCAATTAATATAAAATTAATGTTGACACACACAAAAAAACGAAAGAAATAAACTTGGTTATTGTAATTTGTAATCTGTGTAAAAGTTACGAACTGAACATGTGCCAAATGAGTAAACACTACGTAATATTATAGGTCACATGACCGATGATAATAGAATGCAGGTAGCAAGAAATAATCTTAGTTTCAGATCTATTTTCTTTAATTTCTCTGTTAATTTGTTAACGAAATGGACTGATTTTCCCATTGACTACAGGTCTTATTCATGATTTTGGCAAAATATGGAATAATTTGATGATTTATTGTGTTGAATTTGGCGTTCAATAAATGAAGTAAAGAATTGAGAACTCTTCTCTCCGAAGATAAAATTTCTATCTTCAAACTGGATATATCAAATTTATGTTTGGTGGATGTTATTAAATGAATTTAAAACTTACAATAAATGGATAATAATTTGAATCAGAGTGCATTGTGGGAAAATACAGTATGTATATTAAATTGCAATTTGCAAGCTATTTCAAAATGTTGTTTTTTGGAGTGTGAAACCCACAATAATTCGACCTTAAAATCAGACAGATACATTTGAGTAGACCTTGTCTGAAAATCTGAATGCAAACCAAATCTACTCAAAGCAGTGAGTGACAGATTGTTGTAAACATTCATGATCATCTCCATGGGATGCTTAAATAACTAATTAGACAAACACATGAACACTAGGGTGACGAAATGACAGGAGACACGACTTCTAAAGGTCACACACATTGATTGGCCCTGTCAGTGTAATGTAAAAGGAAATACACTGAATTCACTGGTTTGTGTAGGAAATGATACTTTTTATAATTACCTTTAGTATATTCCATAGGTTATAAAATGAGGGCATTTAACTATTTGTGAAATTAGTGAAAATAAAACCCAGCAAATAATTAAGCCCTATATATTAAATGGATGCCTAATGAACAACTTAATATATTGTTCTTTATCATAATTAATATGCAGGTAAATATGAACATTATGAAAACAAATTACTGCCAGGTTCAATACACTGTGTACATGTATTGTTTTTTTCACCCACAAAATGTACAGTCTTTACATAACCAAACAAAGTAATAGTTAAAACATGTCTGAAACTATGCACAGCTTTTTACCGAGTGTCTGGTTTTTAAATCATTGACACTTGACTGAATTATTTGGTGAAAGCAAAATTGTGTATGTCTGCAGTGGAATGTGAATACCTGTCTGGACTTGCTCTAAATCAGTCTAGTAACAAAGAAAATATTTCAATCAAACTCTTGATAACACATATGCTATGCCCAAATTTGACTTTTATATAAGCCACAGTAGTCTCACAACGTGCAGGAAAATTGCATGGAAAAAATGAATTTGACATGTGTTGTATATTGTAGAAATATCTGCATGCAATTTTAGAGGATTTGACTTTTAGCATATGAATTAACAAAATCTTAATTTAATAGCTGAAGTGTTGACTATCTCCCTGTGAGAATATACTTTCTGTTAAATTAGCTACATATTGAATTAGCAAAATTACAGATTAGCTAAATTGCCTAAAAATAACATGCTAGCTAAAATAACATGTTTTCCATTATATCACATGGGCTCCATATCGAACACAAAGCAGTGTGACAACTGTGCATGCAGCTTCAGTATGCATAGTATCTTTTGTTCATTACCACATTGACTTCATTAATAGTGCATCTCTATTACGAGCGCACAGAGATAACAAATTATAGCTATTGTAGACGGAATCCTTAAATGTGATTTTTAATGTATCTTGTATTCAAACCATACAACTATTCTCTATTCTCCAGCAATTGAATAAATAAATAAATAAATAAACATTCTCCACGGTTAGAGAATGTCTATGATAATATACCTTGCTTGTTGACCTTCCATAGAAGCTGAAATATTGTTTTCTATTACTTTATACATACTATATATTATTCATATATTAATTTGTTGATTTTAATAATTTTGAGTTTCTATGGTATATCAATTTTCACAGGATGAAAAATGAATTGGTTGATGAGCAGAACATGATAGAGAAAAATGATGGTAGACAAAACCTATATTTAAACTGATATACTGAGTACCCTGTACATATATTGCCATGTGGCATCATCCAGTCCTCTCTCTCTCAAAAAAGATAAAAGTAAAATAAGGTTGTTGTTTGGTATGTCGAACTTTCTTAACACTATTAGAAGAACATCTCGAGTAAGAAATTATGAAAAAGACATGAGGTAGAGTTGTAATTGAGGTGGAGGTGTGATGGCACTGTTGAAAATGGAGAAAATTAGATCTTGTGACACTTATCATAAAATGAAGATGATCATTCAGAAATTAGTATATGGACTTAGGGAGCCAAGCAGGCTCCTTGTCAAATAAGCTGAGGAGTCCAATGATCCTGGCAATAGGGATACTGTGATATTTCACTGAGGCCAAAAAACAACACGTGGGGCAGACAACTTTATATTCCTTCTAATTGAAGATATTCTTCCTGCTATGAATTCCTGAGCCTGGCAAGTGGGCAGTATATGTATATGGGAAAGTGGGCAGTATGTATATGGGAAAGTGGGCAGTATGTATATGGGAAAGTGGGCAGTATGTATATGGGAAAGTGGGCAGTATATGTATATGGGAAAGTGGGCAGTATATGTATATGGGAAAGTGGGCAGTATGTATATGGGAAAGTGGGCAGTTTGTATATGGGAAAGTGGGCAGTATGTATATGGGAAAGTGGGCAGTATATGTATATGGGAAAGTGGGCAGTATATGTATATGGGAAAGTGGGCAGTATGTATATGGGAAAGTGGGCAGTTTGTATATGGGAAAGTGGGCAGTATGTATATGGGAAAGTGGGCAGTATGTATATGGGAAAGTGGGCAGTATGTATATGGGAAAGTGGGCAGTATGTATATGGGAAAGTGGGCAGTTTGTATATGGGAAAGTGGGCAGTATGTATATGGGAAAGTGGGCAGTATGTATATGGGAAAGTGGGCAGTATGTATATGAAAAAGCTATTCATGCAGAACAGATTAATCCAGCAGTGTTTTACGTATGAAAACACGTTGAAATAGATACCTGTAATTTTAGCAAATTTGACTCAATGCCTGAAATAATAGAATCCTAATTTAACTAAATTGTCAATAATCTCATTTATGAATATACTCTATATTTTAAATTAGAGACATATTGAATTAGCGAAATTATGGATTAGCTAAATTAGCAAAATTACAGATTAGCGAAATTATCGGTAGCTAAAATAACATGCTAGCTAAAAAGACATATTCCAACAATAATTTTATCATTATAAATCTTTTTGTCTTAGTATGCCGAGGATATGAAGCCGGGAAAATCCAATCTTACCAGCAAAAATGTCCATAATATATGCATGACTGCATATTGTGAATAAAACACTTCTTCTAGTTTTAATCCACTGAGCATGTTACTTTAGGGAATAAAGGATATTGTGATGCCCATTATTGCATCACATTCCTGTCTGTCAGAGCTCAGTTATTTAATTCTTTAATTCAATTAAAATACACAGAAATGTTAAAAAATCAAATATATGTGCAATGGTACGCATGAGTAGACTGAACAGAGTACTTAGCAATGACACGTGAAAACACTCAAAAGTAATCTATCCTAGTTGTCTGTATCTAAGCTTTCAACTGATGTACAGTTGTTACAGTAGCATGTTTAGTAACTTTTAGAGAATGTCTGAATCACAGATCAATTTTTCTGTTGCTACCTTAATTATTGGAAAAAGAAATAACATTCAATTTTGTCGAAATGATGCCAAAGGATATATCTTAGCATGGTGAAACATCAAACATATAAGTATAATTATAAAAAACTTTGACCAGATGTATAATGATTATTACAAGAATACTGCTAAGTATAACCCCTCCCCCCTTCTCAGTATCTTCTTGAACAAACTGAACTTCATATAATTGACAGGGGTTATGTAAAGACAAAAAAAAAACAAGAAGAAAATGTAAGGAATTCATACCTACTCTAAAATACCATAAAACGCTAATAATTTTCACTGCTAGGAATTTGTTTGACTTGATGCCATTCATGAAGATAAAATATTTTGAAAGTCATTGACACAGTCATAGGACCCCAGATAATTGTTCATTGCTGCAAAATTTAATGATTTTCATGGACTCGCAAACAATTTTTTTCTTCCGCGAAATTAATGCGGTTTATAGTAGAACGGCAGGCGTATAGACTGACATAACACATGTATTGGGGGCATGGACTTAATGCATACTTTGCTGATTCCTTGTACCTGATTTATGATGCATTTTTCTGATCCAACCGCTTCATGTAGAATGAAGAATGAATAAAGAGATGAAATGCATTGAAACATTTATGTACTGAACTTCTTTTTAAATGTCGGCCATCTTGGAAATATCATGTCAATTTCATGTCCTTATTTTTTATTTGAAATCTGCATTTCCAACTAAGGTATGATAGAGACACCTCAGTCAATACCGCCAATCTATAACCTAATTTTTATGGATTGATACCAATTATACTAACTTCTAAACCTGGCAGCTCTTGGGACAACGTCCTGGAAATCTATACCACAAGCTATCGTGATAATTAGGAACATGGAATACATTTAATATATATACGCTGCAATTAGTTCTATTTATAGTAATAATTAGTGGCTCTATTCCATTAATCCATACAAAATTTAATTAGTACTAATTGCTTTTGCATTAGAAGTGAAATGAGTAGTGCCTGCGGTGACTTTTTTTATTGGTAACCAGAAATAAATTAATTTTATTCAGCCTATTCACAAAAAATTTCTTTTTTGAAACCTGTCTGATATAAAACAAACCCTGTCTTAAGCAGAAACCCGAGTACATAAAAAATGTTTTTGTCACACATGTGCCACAGCTAGAGATGTACTTCTAATATC